GATTGAAATCTATGTGTGGTTCTGTTCAACAATAATAACACAACAAAAACTCCAAATTGCCTCAACAATCCCGTCAGACATCTATACACGTCAGATGAGTTTCTAGTATAAAACAGGTGCTGTAGAACAAAATTAGTTAACCAAAAATGAACTGTAAGAAGCATGTGAGAATCGAGTAGAATATTCCCATCAATGAGGGATCAAAACTCTGTCCACAAGAATTACACGCCAAACGATTTCCGCAGAATGACCTTCATTCACTCAAACCTAATAGCAGTCAACAATATATTGTCAACATCACCATAATACCTTGGATTAGTTCTTTCCTCTGAACTTTCATGGTCATCCCACATCTTATTAATCTCTAAGAAAATGTTTCGTCTTACCTTCTACATTAAAAAGTTAAGACAATCAGATATCAACCAACCTTTACTTCTGCAATTTTTAAACTCCTGTATTTTACCTATTGTATACTCTATTGCTCTCCATTCATCTTTCCTGGGCTTCTCAAAAAACACTATATCATATTACAAAGGGTATTAAATGCTGTGAGTAGGGCTTGTGGTTTGCCACTGCGTGAGCTCGCCAATAATATAGTCGAGAGAGACATCATTTCCTGTACAAAATGGGCAAAGGCCGTAATGTCAGACCCTCTGCACCCCCTTTATTCACAACTATCCCCATTGTATCTCATCAGGTAGGATGAGAAGTCAATATAAAATGTTATATGCTCGAACCACTAAGTACAAAAATTCTACAATACCGTATTTAGCCCGTATTTTATGTGATGAAGACTCTGTTAGACGTGAAACATATAAGTTACTATGTAATTAGCAAAGTGAATCGACCCTTCCATTGTTCATCTTTCTGTAATTTTATGGTGTCAGGCTTTCTATCGTTTAATTATAACTTTGCTATTTTTATTTTAGTTGTTATTACTATTATTACTATAATTTTATACTTTATGCATATTTTTTCCGTATTGCATACGGTAATTTGCTACAAAGCTGCTATAACAACGTTTTGTTATTATTATTATGTAATGTTTATTTTTTATTTTGTTTTTTTGTTGTTCTGGTTTTTGAGTAAATTAGATGCAATATTGTACTGAATGCTGAAAATTCCTTGCTGTATCATTAGTACTATTTTTGGAATAAAGCAAAAATTATTATTATTATTATAAAAGCAAAAAGAGCAGTATTAAAATTGGAGATTTAACAATGGCAAGGACAAATAACTTGGATCAAGGCAATATATGATATCCAAACATCAGAACAAAGATATACATTCTCAGAGAAAAACAGACATTAATGAGAAAGTTAAATTGCAACATCCAAATAAGTATAAATATTGTGATTAGATTATTCAGTAGGGATTTTCCAAATAATTTTCCCGTTAAACAAGTGTCACCTTCAGTCATAAGTCATTACATTTTATTAAAAAGTTGTTCTGATAACTTTAGAAGAAACAGTAGTAAGAAGACTAACTCTATATTTGATCTCATAATGCTTATTGACCCACCTAATGACGTGGCCCCTAGTATAAATAATTTTATCTTTTGTTCAAGAATAAATTAAATCCAGGGTAGGCAGTTATAATTACTAAGCGTAGTGTATACTGATACGCATAGGCTCCATGATACATTTTGCGGGGGGGGGCTCAAAAGAACTTATGTCGCCAGAAGAACAAGAAGAAGCGACACGTTCTTTGAAAAAAAAAATACATTTTTCTATTCATGTTACCACTTATAATCGGCTACTTCAAAGAAAAAGAAACTCATCTCTGTGCAAAACTGTTAATGTGAATGACACTAGAAAACTTTGTTGAAATAACTTCTTTTAAGAACGATTATTTTATTTAATTTTTAACATTCTGTGATTTTGATAAATCATGAATCAGTCAGCCTTTATTCAAAATTTTGCTAATTGGAGACAGTTAAGTTTAATAATTATGTGAATTAAACATGTTATCCGTTTTTCTAAAGAATGGATACTGAAGAAAGAGTACCCTTTTCGATAACTTCCCCTTCATCAGGCTCTACAGTTATATATACATTATAGTGAATGAGTGAATTAGTGCTATGAACAACACTAATGTTGTTTAAATAACATCGAATCAATAATATTGATAGATTACAGTTCAATAGCATCATCATAACAATAAACTGAATGTCAGAAAAATTAGGAAAGATAATATTACAAATTCATGAATTTCCAGTATCTACTGACGGCCAGGGCAGTAGTAGTGGTTGGCTGGACTTGTTTCTTTTGTACACAAGGCACTAGTTGTTTCAGGTGAATCGCTGTTTGAAGCATGCGGTTGTTCGATGTTTTTGGCAATTTATTAGGCACCTGGTAAGTGATAGAGAAGGATTCTTCCACGCTGACTTTGTGGCCGGTTTGAACCAGATGGTCTAATATCGAACTTTTGATGGTTTTCGCTACACCTTTACTTAGCCATATTGGTTATACCTACTTTGATTTCTTAAATTTAATTAACTCAGTAGCGTCGGTAGAACAGTGGTAAAATGCTCTCTAACCACGTATGTGGTTTGGGGTTCCATCCCCGGTCCAAGCACTCCTTCACCTCGCTAAGCCAGTAATAAGACTGGTAAAGAGGGAAGGTTGGGCATGAGGTCAGCAGCAATTCTATCTCCTAAAAAATAAACGCCACTTCTACCGAAACTTCCAAGCTTTAGCTTGAAGCCCTATGTTCCACTGGGAAAGTAAAGAAATGAAAAAATTAGAGTAACTCAATATTTAAATTACCTTCTGATATCAATGTGAGTGAAAATACTCAAACAGTTTCTCATCAATGAAAGCAATTATAATGATCATATATGAGCTTGAATATACGTATATGCATAGTGTGTTTTTACCTTTTTAGGAAGCCAGTTAGTTAGTTACACTGCTTGAATGACTTCGATATCATTTTCTGGGCCGGACTTCAACTAGAAATAATGCTCAGGTTTGTTATGTAGTCATCTATTCTGGTTGACCTGAGCTTCAGCCCGATCCACCTAACATGGTACGTTTCTAGTAATCTAATTGTCGATGTCATTTCATAATGTAATTCACTAAATCTCCACAAAAAGATGACAACTGGTTATACATATATATGTAGTCTAAATAATTACTTAGCATCTATTTATAAGATTATTTAGTTACACATGTGAAGCTCTGCTATAGAAATTTACTGTAAACAAAGATTAAATATAGAAAAACGTACTATTTTGAGGGTTTGTACGGATTCTGATTTCATTAAAACGGGGTTGAAGACTTTAAGGTCAAGTGTGAAGCAGACGCTCATAGATGGCATTAGTTGGCAGTAGTGATGTATCTGAAATTGACAGATGTTGGAATTCACCGTCCACGCTGAATTCAAACCCATAGGCTAAAGAGTCAATACGCATGGCTCGTAACCTGTAGGTTCTCAGGGGTGTGTAGTATTGAAGAGTCCCACATCAGGATGAAGTAGATATTCAGCGCTCCATTATTTGTAACGATTCACACACTGATATAATTTTGTAGCGACATTTATTTTGAGAAAAGTTTGGTTTCTATTTTCGTTGCACGTCAGCATCAATGTAGCTAGATACATGTGGAAAATGTGTCTAGGGTTAGTACATTCTACAAGGATATAGACTGCAGTCTTCTAACTATTTAGCAAATTATCGTTGTATTATTATAATTCATTCAGGTTCACATTGGAGTAGTGACCATCTGTTATGGTCTGAATGCTGGAAACCAATCTTCGCATTCTAATACTGTACAGCTAGCTGGAACTTCACTGACTCGCAATCACAAAATGCTCCAACGTTAGCAAAAAGATAGTTATTTTCAGTAAAATCTGCGTTACTACTTAACAGTAATAACATAACAAAAACTCAAAATTACCTCAACAATCCCGTCAGACAGCTATACAGATCAGATAAGTTTCTAGTATAAAACAGGTGCTGTAGAACAAAATTAGGTAACCAAAACTGAAATGTAAGAAGTATGTGAGAATCGAGAAGAATATTCCCAACAAGGTGGGATCAAAACTCTGTCCACAAGAATCAAACACCAAACGATTTCCGCAGATACTTCAAGGTCAGAATGACCTTCATTCACTCAAACGTAATCGCAATCAACAACGTGTTGTCAGCATCATCATAAAAGCAAAATGGGAAGCATTAAAACTGGAGATTAAACACTGACAAAGACAAGTAATTCGGAAGTGGAATTGGAATTTAAGAAATTGGCAGAAGTTAGAATTCAAGAACCATTGGATCGGGTCCCAGTGGTTTAATGGCATGCGAGCTCGCCTTGTAACCAGAAGGTCCTGGGTTCGAATCCCGGTGGGTGCGTACTGATGAAGAGTCCCAAACTAGGACGAAACAGGTGTCCAGTACTCCCAGGTTCTCCAATGGTTCTCTAACTAATGTCAGCTCATGATGAAAATCCTGTAATCCTAGACTTTATTAATTTCAGACTGAAGAAAATTCAGTTGCTTTTCAGTCACTAGATTAGTAGTATACTATAGCAGAAACTCCAAATAGAACTTGAAATTTATTGGCCCCACTTACATTTGCCTGGATAATTTTAAAAAACATGCCATCAGCATGTAGACATACATGTGACTACACAAAGGTAAAAATAACTTTAATACTCTTGGGGCATACCTTTTTCTGTGTTCTTTGTTTAAAAATTGAAGTTAATTTTAAATTTTTCTAGACAACGACTTTTATTCTTATTATATCTTTTTATTGCCAATTATCAGTTGTGGTCGTCAACTGTCAAAAATTCGACTTCATTTTTCTCTCTGTGGGTATATCATCAAAGAATGGAGCCGAAAGGAACTAGTGAATGCCTTTAGTACGTGTACGTCTATAGCCATAAACATGCAGAGACCCTTGATTTATACTTATTTCTAACTTACATTTCGTAACGTCTGACTATTACGCACGTACATATATATATGTATATATATATATATATATTAAATCTACAGATCTGAAGAAGACGTACAAAACTCATAAGGTAAGTCAACCAGATCATATTTATCCTTTTGAAGAAAGTTATTTATCATGTATTGATATACATTAAGAAGTTGACGTAGAATATTCTAAAAGGCTCGGCACTATCTATATACCCTATGGTTGTAATATCAGCTTTTCATCATATCATTATTATTCCCTTATGTTCCTAGTGGAATATAGGACTTCAGCAACATATCTCCGTTTTGTCCTGTTATCTGCAGTTCTCTTTAACTGGCCCCACGATAACCCATAGGCTCTCATATCCTCCTCCGTGTCATCCTAGGACTCACACCAAAATCGTCGTTTCCCATCCGGCTTCTACTCGAGAGATGGCATGGTACAAAATGTCACTCAGCAGCGTTCATTTTTTCTTTGGAATTTTTTTGACTAATAGGTTCTTGATTGGTTCAAAAGTTCCCAGAATTTCTTGTTGCCAGTTCTTCCTGCCTGTTAATCTGATCTTCATTATGGAGTCAGCGAAGGTAGCTGTTGGTGAATGGCTGCAATAGGCGCTATTAGAAATGCTTTTAGTGACTGGTGCGTCAAGTTTCTGACCCATATAGAAGAGCTTACTTAACAGTAGTACCATATCATTAACTTCTTCAGAATACAGAAGACAAGACTTTTAAATTAAACATTGAATATGTCGTTTGCATCATTTTGTTTAAGTTATCATTGACTGAAAGTGTCTTTGCTTCATTAAAAAATATTGAGTTTGATTTACGTAGGACTTCACACTGATACTAGATAGGTAATAATGAATTGAATTTAGAGTAATTAGCATTCCCTTTATGAATTCCGATAAAACAGTAATAAGACGTGATTTACTTGAAATATGTGGTGTATTTCCCAAACACATTACAGACATTTTCACCACACATATACTTGCTATACATATTTATGTATTAGGGTACAAACTATGAGGGATCAAAATTTTTATCAATACAGTTAAAAGTTTTTACGGGTCTAGATCCCCAAAAAGAGGTAAAGAAACGAGGTAAGAAGAAAGAAGAAGAGGGTGAAAATATTGTCAAGTAAATTAAACTCTTGTTTTAAAATTAGCTTACCATGGAGGGATCAAAGTAGTAGCAGGAACTTCTTGAAAGACTGATTAGTGAACAAAGAATATCCACTTCGATAATTTCTCTACCAGGTTCTACAATTATATCTCTCTAATTATTGAGGAATGTCAAGATTTCATCATGAATTGAGATCGTTTAGAGAGCCACTGGAAAACCTGGGAGTACTGAACAACTGTTTCGTCCCAATTTGGGACTCTTCATCGGTACATACCCATTAAAGCTATTTTTAAATAACATAAAATTATTGACATTTAAATTCCAGGTTATATATTTAAATAGATTGAGCATTCATTATTATATATTCCTTGTTACTCACGATCAAATTAGTGTGACGTTTATGCATATTATAACATACACATATTTTGAACTATAATATATTAATAATCTATTTGCATATAACTTTTGGAATTTTAATGTCAGTGATTCGATGTCATTAAAAAAAACATATTAATATTGTCAATAAGAATAATTCTTCAGTTATTATGGATACGTAACTCTAGAACCTAGTGAAGAAGTTATTGAAGTGAATATTCTCTGCTCACTGATCAGTCTTTTGAAATTTCTAGTGGGCATCTTTAATCCCAAAAATATTTTGAATACATTACACAGGTTTAAGCCTTCTTAGGGCTAAGGATTCTGCGAATTTAAGTATATGACCCCCAGACGTGTCGTGTGAATGGGCATAAAAGTATTTTCGAAATCAAATTTACGACCTGTTTCTTTGATGCGCTTTGAGGTAGACAACGTTGGACATCTGTTTGCAAAGTTAACTAAACCATGAGGTTTTATTTGATCCTGAGAGCTAGCTCGGAATGTGTTCTATAATCCAGATCTGCGAAGACCTATGTGTCCTCCCTACTGTACGTGTGAACGCGCTTGCTTGTAAATCGGTAAACATAGTGGGATGCAACACTACCGTTCGGGTGCTATAAGGGTGTACAGGGCGACATAGTTTCATTTCCTCCATGAAAATGAATTAAGCTGCATAGTAAGTTCTATTGAGCTTAGTGATCGGGCATTTGTGGTCACCCTTGAAGGATAAAGTATAAAAACAGCTATTTCTGGGAGCTAAGTAGATTAGTCGGGTCCTTTGTTTGACTCTTCTATTCAATACTTGTCTCTCCTCGTGGCCCCCACCAGCAAAAATTCTCAAAGCTGACTCCATTCTGAAGTTATTTCTGAAGATGTTGTTCAGAAGGACAATAAACGCATCGCATTTGAACCATCTGGCTCGGAGAACACAAAAATACCTGACACATCAATCTCAGCCACAAATCTTCACTGATATTTGAATATATATATATATGTATAATTTTCAGAAGGACGTGGCAGTCATAGTTTCTCCTCCTAGCTAATAATCAAACACACAGTGACATTATGCTTTTTCAAGCGCTTTATAACAATTTCATTTCATGTAAATCCTTCATTCGAGATGGTCAGATTGAAGAAAAATAATCATATTACAGTATTACAATAATATTGAATAAGCAGAAGCATCATTTCAACTACAGCTGGAGCAACAGATGACGGTGTCATAACCAGAACTGGAAAGAAAACGGAGACTTTCATCACTCTAAAATCAGTTTGGAAAACTGCTGTCCTCAGCATAAACAACAAAATTCAAATTTTCAACAGCAATTGTAAGTCACTTATTGATTGTGCATGGATCAGAAATTTAGCGCATCATGAAAAGCATTTCCAACAGCCTGATGGAGACTTTTATCAATAGCTAGTTACCTTCTCTGGCTCCATACTGCAGATTAAATAGCCAGCCAGAAAGAATAAGCAGCAAGGTATTCAGAGAACGAACCAACCAGTCAAGAACCTATCGCTCAACAGATATTCCGAATGAAATGGAGATACATCGGGCACACTCTGAAGAGACTGTTGAGTGACACCACTCTCCAGATCATCGCTTTAGTGGAAGCCTAATGGTTAACGGTGATTCAGATGTGAGTCCAAGGATGACATGGAGGAGGCGACAGTTCATGTGTAATTGTGGGGCTAGCTATGGAGGACTGTCGAGAACAGGGTGAAAGAGAAATCCGCTGTTGAAGCCCTATGTTCTAGTGGGAGCCCAAGGGAATAATATTAGTAATAAGTGAATAGAATAAACTGAAAGGAGCTTTTAATCTTTGTAACTAACTTTTATTTCTTTTTAATTACTGATATCCAGGCATTAAAAGCCTACGCTTGATTCAACGAATTCTTTCAACCTAGAAGAGAAAACTATGACGTTAATGGATAAGGTGAAATTTACTTACAAGAAGAGGAAAGAAGTAAAACCTCCTAAAGTGAAAAGTAAAAATGTAAGATTGTTTGAGTAATGTGACGTAATAAATTTCCAATGTATATTCATAATGTGTGTGTGTGTGTGTTGTGGTCTCAAGACTTTATACAATATACCACTTCTTAAAACTGTCATACTCAGTATTCAACAGAACATCTCCTTTTATTCAAGATTCCAGCCAGTTGTTATTTGACTTTAAAGCAATAAATTTCAGTAAAAGTTGAAAGCTGAACAACTTCATCGGACGACAGTTACTTATCCTACTAGGAGCTTTCTAATATTGCCTGACTTTGCTGTAACTAATCAATTCTTTTCCATTCCTTTGCATTCTATGGGGAACCGAAGGCTCCAAGCCTTAAGCTGGGAAATTTCAGTAACGTTTGTATTGTTTTGATGGAGGTGAGGTTGCTAGCCTCACGTTTAAACTTCCCTCTTTCTGGGGCTAACTACAGACTAGACGAAGTTCTGGAGTGTGTCCATTGGGAATGGAAACTGAAAACGTATATTGCTGAACTGTATTCTACCCATGAACCACTGGCGCAAGGAACAATTATTTTTATTCGATATTTTTTAAAGCTTTAGATTAGTTGTAGTTAGTAAGAATATCACGTACTGTTTTCAAATTATTTGTTTAATTTGATAAATTGACAAAGCAATGTGAAGATTGAGCAGAATGCTGTTTATGACGAGAAAATAAATTAAAGCTTTAGAGGAAGCAGAATTAATCATAGTAAACTTCTTTAAACAGGAAATTAGATATTTGAATGTAAAAAAGAAAGCGGAATTAGACATTTACTCCATTTTTAATGTGTTCATAATACTTCGGTACTTCGATGATATTTAATTTCTTTTTTATTCCTTCACGTTCCCAGTGGAACATAAGGTTTCGAGCTAGAGGCTTGAGGTTTTGGTAGCAGTGGTGTTTACTTTTTTTACGGGATGCACTTGCTAGCCTCATGCCCAACCTTCCTTCTTTACCAGTCTTATTACAGGCTTAGCGAAGTAAAGGAGTGTGCCGGCTGGGGATCGAACCGGCACCACATAGCGTGGTTGTCGAGCATGCCACGCTATGCTGCCGATGCACATATTTATTCCCTTGTACTGTGATCTAATAGTTGCCTTGTTTAGTTCAGACCAACGGCTAGAACTCAGTGTGTGTGTATCAGGAAATCTGGAAAAATAAAGACTATGAGACACTGAGAAATGTAATAGCCAATTATTCAAAAGATAACTCAACTGAACCATTTAAGAAAGAATGAGTACATATTTGCAGGATAATACGAGTTCATTTTATCTCATGGATTCTCTTCAGCTGCATACATCCTGCATAAATATCAATTATAAGTTACAAAATTGTGTCTGAAAGTGCTTTTTAAAATGACTTCAATTTATAGATAGAAAGTATGGGCAACATAATTTCAAAGATGATGTAAGTGGACCAATTATTTAGTGTTAAAAAACTAACTATTTATATAGTAATTAGACAAGGGGGTAGAGTTCAGATTTCATTTGAAGAGAATTCATGAAATACAATGAGCCGGTATTATTCTGTAAATATGTTCTTTCTTTCTTTATTCAAACTAATAAAGGGAACTAGCTATATGTAATAAACTGAATCAGTTTTTGTAACCAGTAAACTCTGACAAAATCTCGTACTTTTAGTCTCAGGAAGATATTACAATAGTATAGAGTACTTCTGAAGCATCTTAGATTTGAAAGATAATTCCCAAGTAACACCTTCTACATTTATCTTCACGGTAGAAGGATAACAAATGCAAAGATTAAGAATTATACCTGTTTATTATTAATATATTATTGTTTCCTTTAATTCCTAGAGGAACATAGGGCTTCAGCCGTGCGTCTCGATTGCGTTCGGTTCTCTGCTAGAGTCTTCACCTGGCTCCATGTCTGCCCACACGTTTTCATCTCCTCTTCACATGACCTCCTCCAAGTCACCCTCGCACTGACAACCAACTCGCCGCTTCCCCTTTGGGTTCCACTCGAGCAATGGCTTGTCTAGTGATGTCACTTGATGGTTTCCTCAGAGTATGACCAATCCATCTCCATTTCTTCCAGCCTATTTGTTGCATAATCGGTTCCTGGTTGGTTCGCTCCCAGAGATCCCTCACTATTGCTGATCTTTTCTGGCCATCTGATCTTGAGTATTGATCGAAGACAACTGTTAATGAAGGTTTGTAGTTTGTTTGAGATGCTCTTTATGACGCGCAGTGCAAGTCTCTGATCCATATAGTAGCACTGACTGACTTTGCATTGGAGTTGAAAATCCGGATCTTATTTTTGATGCTGAGTGTTGCTGACCTCCACACAGACTTGAGAGTAGTGAAAGCTTGTCTTGCTTTTCCGATTCTTGCTTTGATATCCTCGTCAGTTCCGCCTGTAGTTGAAACGATGCTTCCCAGGTAGGTAAAAGGTTGTTTCTTTCAATTCCTGTTTATAACTTGCTGAAATGTCAGTTGCTGTCTTGTTTAAACGTTTTAATTTCTTTTTTTAAAAATTAAAACATATCTCTAACTTAGAAAACTGGTTCATGCTGTGATATTAGTCAACCGACAACATTTCGTCATATCCAGCATGTTGCATACAATGAAGATTCAAAGACATTTAGCATATCATTTCAAGAAAGTGAAATACTCAGACAAATAATGTCTGCTTTGAAATGTGAAATAGAATTAAGCGAAAGTGCTCAACAAAAACTTCTATATGATTTTGCTCAAAAATTTGGTGGATTAAAAATGGTAAGTAAGACAATATTCTTCATAAATGATGCATGCGTCTTTGTTATTGTATAATAGGAATTGTTTGGTGTTCATTCAGTTTTAATAATATGATCTTTGATGTGTCATTCCTCGATTATTAATGAAGCGAGTGTCGAAGATGTCACAAAGCCTAGTGATGAGATTTCAACGATCATATCACAGCTCGGTGGAAATTGATATCAACAATATGAATCTATTATTATTCACTATTACTTCATATATAAATCAGTCATCTTCCTCAAGAGCAAAGGATATGTTAAGCCTACCTATAATTTATAAAAAGTAAAATTTTATGAGCACTGTATATTTCTTCAGAGAAATCCAGAACAATATTTAGAAACTGAACTTCCAGTGATATAAAGTAAACTCTGGAGTTATGCGAAATATCGAGAGTAAAGTATGATACTAAATTAATAGATTATAATTATTATTATTCCTTTGGGTTCCAAGTGGAACATAGAGCTCCATTAACACATTTCCGTTTAGCCCTATACTCTATATTAGAAGAAGACATATAAGCGAACAATATTGTTTTCAATTAGATCTTCTTCAGGCTTTACTCTAATTTACATAGATTTATATATAAAATTTTAACCAATGACGGTGATTTTGGGAATCAAATAATAATCTTAATAATAATAATAATAATGTTTTACGAGTTGATCACGGACTGATATCAGTTAGAGAACCATTGAAAACCAGGAAGTACTGGACAGCTGCAGTTTCATCCTAGTTTGGGAATCATCGGCAGTACGCACCCACTGGGATTCAAAACCAGGACCTTCCAGTTACAAGGCAAGCTCGTATGCCATTCAGCCACTGGGACCCGATTCAATGGCCAGTGCATGAATTCTCACTTCTACCAATTCGTGATTTTAGCGCGACCCCAACTATTGTCGTTGGTGGGACATCCATCCACACACGTGACTTCTAATTGAACCTCACTGGTCACGACTTCTCACTAGAACTCCAGGAAGCTCCAACCTGTAGCAAGTCACTAGCGAGCATCAGAATAATAATCCTTACAAACCAAACTATAGAAAATTATTCTGATGCTCGCTAGTGACTTGCTACAGGTTGGAGCTTCCTGGAGTTCTAGTGAGAAGTCGTGACCAGTGAGGTTCAATTAGAAGTCACGTGTGTGGATGGATGTCCCACCAACGGCAATAGTTGGGGTCGCGCTAAAATCACGAATTGGTAGAAGTGAGAATTCATGCACTGGCCATTGAATCGGGTCCCAGTGGCTGAATGGCATACGAGCTTGCCTTGTAACTGGAAGGTCCTGGTTTTGAATCCCAGTGGGTGCGTACTGCCGATGATTCCCAAACTAGGATGAAACTGCAGCTGTCCAGTACTTCCTGGTTTTCAATGGTTCTCTAACTGATATCAGTCCGTGATCAACTCGTAAAACATAACTAATCCTTACAAACCAAACTATAGAAAATAATAATAATGTGGTAAATGTTTTGAACGTAGTTAATAACGATGATTATGATGATAAAATATTGATAATAAGGTTTATGCAGGTGATAAGAATAACAAAGATAGTATATGTAAATAAGTCTATAAATAAATTGGGTCAAATCTTAAAAGATGAAGTGAAACGATACTCAGAGTTTAAATAAATATTATAAAAGTACGAATGAGGTGGAAAATAAGAAAGGGTGGGAGGGTTTTGAATACAATTCACCTAGGCCAAGGGAGAGACTAAGGTAGAACAAACTTCTTCTGTATGCAAAGACTCTCAAATTCCCATAGCTTCGGCTAGGTGTAAAAGACGGATTCTGATTCCATTCGAAAGACTCGATGGAATACGATAGATAACTTTGAAAGCACTATTTTTGTCCACTTGGTGACCGCTATCAATCAAATGAGCCAAAATAGAACTTCGTATGGATTTTATTTGACCTTTTCCGAACCATGAAGGAAGATGCTTATTAATGCGTTTGTTAAGTTGTCTAGTTGTTCGCCCTATATAGTCCACTTTGGTTGGTTTCCTCATAGGCTCCCATGTCCCCTTCTCACGGGCCCCTCCATGTCACCCTTTGACCCTAGCCCAATTTATCGTTCCTCTTTCGGATTCCACTCGATGATCTGGAACATGTGAAATCACTCAATGGTCTCCTTAGCGTGTCTCCAATCCATCTCCATTTCCTTCAGAGTATTTGTTGAAATAAAGGTTTTTGATTAGTTCACTGGTTTCCAGAGTTTCTTGTTGCTAATTTTTTTCCACCCAGCCATCTGATCTTCAGTATTGAGTCAGCGAAAGGGCAGCTGTTGATAAAAGTGTGCAGTGGCCTGCTGGAGATGCTTTTCGTGACTCGTCAAGTCTCTGAACTATATAGGAGAAGTAACTGGCTTAGCACTGTTGCTGAAAATCCGAATTTTGTTCCAAACAGTTTTCAGAATGATGAAAGTTTGTCTTGCCTCTTCGATTCTGGTTTTAACATCCTCATCAGTGTCTCCACCTGCATTTGAAACGATGTTATCTACACAAGTGGGGGAAGTAACCTCTTTCAAATTTCTCCTTTTGACCATGATTGGTGATGGTTGTTGTTTCGTGGTTATCTTCATCACCTCTATCTTATCTTTGTTCACTTGAGGTGATGTCTTTCCTGGTTCTGCTGCCAACTTGTTGGTTTTCAGTTGAATCTATACTAATAGATTTATTAACAGACCTCAAATTACTCGGTGTCTCGATCGATTACTGTCAAAAGTAATGATATGGTGAGTCGGAAAGATAACTGCAGGGTTGTGTGAAACGGTCAGAAACGATGAACACGTGAATATAATGAGCAAGATAAGAGGATTAGAATAAACAAGGTTTGAGATGGAGAAAGAGAGGATAATATAAGGGAAACACGCACAGTTTCATTACAAGACGAATATTCCTATAGAGAAAACACATCATGGGCAAATTAAACGAAATGCAGTCATATGAAAATGATCAATTATGTTTCCGAGGTAAGGATACAGTAACAAGTATATACTTATACTACTTACTAATATGTAGTAGTATACAGCAGAACAAAAAGAAAAGTGACATCAATAGAATAAAGATTAGTGCAGAAAAGAATTCACAACTAGACGTTCATCGTAAATTATATTGAAAAAACAACTGCTAACAGAAACGAATTCTAGGCCAGGTTCTTGTCCGGTACAATAGTGTACAACATTGTACTGCCATTTTTATGAGTTGATCACGGATTGATATCAGTCAGGGAACCATTGAAAACCAGGTAGTACTGGACAGCTGTTTCATCCTAGTTTGGGAATCATCGGTTCTGTAATTGATATCAATCTATGAAGAACTCGTAAAAACAAAACTAATCCTTACAAGCCAACTATAGAATATAACCACTTTATTTATTCCGTTCACTTATTTCGTCGACTACGAATGTCACACACTCAGAATCTAAACAACACTGGTTACCCACAGTCGAACACTTCATTAACATATATATATATAAGTATAACAGTCATGCTTATACATGTCCCAAATGAATTCATTTATTTCCCACTGATAATTTTGACTATTCCTGTGAAGAGTTTTTCCCTTAAATCGCATTATTACTTTGTCATCCAACTAGGAATCACTTCCATCTTCATGCACAATGCTTTACGCCAAACCTATTGTCTGAGGACTAATAGCACTGTTTGGCTGTTTGACATTCACTAGTTCTTTCATCTCCTTTTGAGTAGGTAAACCTACAAAGGAGACATAAACAAGAATCCATAGATACTAGCGGTATCCTTCATTTAATCTGACAGTATATGTTCGGCTTTCTTCATTCAACTTTTACTCCATCACTTCTCAGTACTTAGAAAGCAAAATGATTGATCGAATTATTGTTTACTTTTCAATTAGATCCTCATCTCTGGCTCTACTTTAATATATATCCATAGCATTTTTAATACAATACACAACATTTTGCCAATCAAGTGGCAATATGTTTGTTAACAATAGTTAGTCAGTATCAACGAAGAAAATTAGTACAGATAAGTAGGAGTGCGATAAATAACTTTAACTGCTGTATTGACACCAACTTTTGCTCACTTTCTATAAGGTGTGCTAAAACAGAGCCACAAACAGATCTTGTTTGTCCCTTGCACTACTAATGTTAATTTTGCTTTAAGAGTTCGTCTTCTACATACAACTGAAGCCATAGGAATCCACCTGAAGAAGCCAAACCTGTGTGTTCAAAAGAAATTCGTACAGCAACTTTCCTTACCTTGGCCATTGTTACATGAATGTAAAATTCTGACAATCCCCCCTCCCCTAAGCCTTTTACAAGTTACCACTGTTCAAATGATATTTTTCCTGACTCCTTTATCTTTAATTGCTTATTACGTAACCAACTTGAACACTCACTTATTCCTTGAATACTCTCTACCTTTTCCAAAATTATGCATTGTTCAATCCACTCATTGTAACCACTTCTATTCTTTAACTGTCTGTACTAATTTTCTTTGTTAATTATCACCCCGTTGACGTATTGATACTGACTAATTATCGTTAACAAAACAAATTGGTGTAATGTTGTGTATTGTATTAAAAATGCTATGGATATATATTAGAGTAGAGCCAGTGATGAGGATCTAATTGAGAAGTGAATATTTCTTCGCTGAATCCTTTTACTTTCTAAATGTCTAAATGAGGATTTTCTCTATATTCTCAATACTTGCATGAATTCTTGTCGACTTGCTTTAATACTTGAATGGAAGCAGACTAAATTCGCTTTTAACCAATGCGTACAATGATCACAAGTAGATATTTAGTTTTTGCTTTAGTTCAGCAGTTATGTAACATGTATAAACTGCCAAATGTGTTATCAAATGCATTATGAGTAGTAGATGTTTAACACGTGCTGTGCAGTTTGAAAATGTAACTGACGCAAAGAATACTGATAAATGAAGTTTTAAAATATAAATGATTATGCTTGACTAACTGCAAAATACCACATGACCACTGTCAGTGAACTTACCCTAAGTTCCTATTGTAACGAAGACGCTCTGAACGGATAATTACTATGTATCTTCTCGACTTTAACTCCAAAACACCAGTATTCTTTGAAGGAGGTTATACTGTTTGGCAATTAAAGCAAAGATTAATACAAATCTACAAACAAATGTTTAATACAAATAAAACTATAAAGTACCTTTATTCGTATTCTTCTGTCTTCTTCGAACTTGCACACGATCGAACCATTCTCGCCTTCGAGTTGCCCACCAATGGCTACCAGTTCCAATAAACAAACTTTCAATGTTCACATCCATTGACAACCACCAAACTAAACAAATTAACACAACAGTATAGTTTGTTTCGTGACTTTAAATATCCTTTGTAGGTTTCTTCTAAGAAATCCGGAAGGGTAATTCAATCGATTAATTAAGCAAACCTTTTAGTTACGCGTAAAATCCAAAAACACACGATTTGTCTAAAGTACGGTACTGTATTATGTATAATCCAATGAAATATAATATACAAACTTCAAATTGTGAAGTGTCTGTGTCTGAATGTCATCAAATGCACAGTTATTATGAGTCAATAAGAAAAACAGCAAGACCGTACCAAGGTCAATTCACAGTCAGATTAAACAGCGCGCGAATGCTAGACAAAAAAGAATAAGGGATTTGAATAAAGTGTTCAACGAAGAGAGCCACGTAAATAAAGCGTATGCAGCAGATACTGTTTACATAAGAATATTGTTACATATCAGACAGAGCATTAATAATACATTAAAGTGAGATAAAATTGAATAGCGAACAGCAGTTATGGTTACAGGGTGACAAAATAATAAAAATATATTAAAGCACACTAGTAACTTACTACTGACAAGTAGTATAAAGTTGAAAACAAAGGAAACAGTAATAAACGATCGATAAGAAAAGAATTAACATCCTTTTTTCTTGACATTTACCAGTAAGACATTTTCTTATTTTCTCTAGACATTTCAGCAGAGTTCACATTACAAAATACATAGAACTAAAGTGGCTTACTGAATGACTGTAAGTCTAATAAACAGCTACAGTATTAAGATTCATATAATAGTTACTGAGAACAACTTAGAAGTTTGAAAAAGTTCAAAACAAATTGTAACTTACTTCAGTTCATTGGAAATGAAGCTTTCCATCCACCGTACATGTACATTTCAATTTTTTAATGTCAATTTGTATGAGTAAATCTGAGAATTATTCAACACCTCCAAACCCTTAAATTGACTTCATTTACTACTTCATTTTTCAATTTAACAAGTCGATCACTGAAGTATAGAATAATTCTTCTGGAAAACTATGTGTCCTTATACCCTATGTTGTACTTATACCCTATACACTGAAATCTATCCTCAAGTATTATAAGTAGTTACACTTTAACCTTGGAATACAATTCATCAGTATCTAATTTACATTCTCCTAATCTGAGCGTATTATACGTGCAGGATTTCGTCACGAACCAGGTGGCTGACTTACCAATGAACTTGGCATCGTAACCTGAAGGTATTGTATTCGACCTCTGGTAAGGTCGCGGGTACACAATGCTGAAGAGTTTCAAACTTGGGCGAAACAGCTGTGTTGTGGTATTACATGGTTTTCAAGGGTTCTCTGACTGAGACTGATTTGTGATAAAATGTACATTGTAATAGTATATTATTGACTCATATAGAAGAATGTCAGTGATTATCATCCAGTAACTTATTAGGAAATTGGGTTTGTATAAATAAAAACAGATAACTTTTATTTTAGACACTTACATGAATATATATTCTATAAATAGAAAAGATTTTGTTTTCCATTGGCTAACACTAAAAAAATTCTGTCTTCTTTCAGATGCAAATTATCATAAATCGAGCATTAAAACAAAATCCTGAGCATATTTCAAAATCCCCGCTTGGATCATCATCGTCATCATCACTATCTAGGCATGAAAGTGATGCCAAACAACTCGATGAAGTATCCAGTGTTGCTGCTGAATATGTTCGTCAGCAGATAGAGGAAAAATCTCCTGCAGTGAACAGCAGTGACAAAGCAGTTAAGCCTAAGACTTCAGATGATGAAGTTCAAGATGATGCACTGAAAAGTGATAACTCGCGTGAGTCTAAATATTATTATTACTTTAGTTTAGAACACAGCCGAATTCCTGGTTCAAGATTGTATATTAGGCAAACTAACATGTAATAACGGGGAAACAGAAATACAAACTGTGTGTTCTAGTACTGATCATGTTTGTCTTCTCTATCTCTGCATTTATTGCTTTCTATATTGATGCACAATTTTCTCCATTCCTGTTGTCTTAGAGTTCATCTATCACACTTGTTTTTTCTTATAGAAGACATCACACTACATACTAATTAATATTTCTTGTTAGTATCATACACCACATTCTTAAAAGTAATGATTACATTTTAGGTGATTTCATATTATGGTTAATGCATTTGGATTGTGTTACTAAATAGAGCAAAAGTTTTGTTTGGCATGTTCCACACTGTTGTTCTAATTTTTAAAGAAGAATAGCCATAGTTTAATAATCTGTCCTGAAGACTAACAATCAGAAAAATAAACTAAGCACTCCACTGATTTGATAGACTGAGCTGTAGCAAGCTCTTAAGTAAAAGGAATTAAACAATACCAGAGACTGAATACTGAAAGGAAACTTCCTGTTACTGCTTAGAGTTAGAGTCCTTATGGTGTATTCCAACGTCCTATATAATTGGTAAGTTTTCACTATTTTTATCAGGTGGGTTAAAGAATTCGTATAAATTGTTAAGCTGAACACTAAAACTCTTGTTAAATTTACTGAAGAATTAATTTATCAAAGGTCTCATGATCATTTTGTCAATAGTCATTGAGATTATGGAACTATCTGAGGTAGTCTTGAGTTAAGGGACTGTTACTGATGGAATGGGTGGTGAAACGAAACTTTGCGTCTCGTTGCTCAACTCATAGGGAGCGGAACTACTAATCCGGAGGTCACTAGGTTGAATGCTTCCAAGACGCAAATTTTCACTTCGCCTTCACAGTCTCAACCCATTTTATCAACGACTGTGTTTATTATTTTTGTTCCTTCTGGTTAATAATAATAATTTGCTTTATTCCAAAAAAAGTACTAATGATACAGCAAGGAATTTTCAGCATTCAGTACAATATTGCATCTAATTTACTCAAAAACGAAAACAACAAAAAAACAAAATAAAAAATAAACATTACATAATAATAATAGTAACAAAACGTTGTTATAGCAGCTATGTAGCAAATTTCTGTATGCAATACGGAGAAAAATATGCATAAAGTATAAAATTATAGTAATAACAGCTAAAATAAAAATAGCAAAGTTATAATTAAACGATAGAAAGCGTGACACCATAAAATTACAGAAAGATGAACAATGAAAGGGTCGATTCACTTTGCTAATTACATAGTAACTTATATGTTTCACGTCTAACAGAGTCTTCATCACATAAAATACGGGCTAAATACGGTATTGTAGAATTTTTGTACTTAGTGGTTCGAGCATATAACTTTTTATATTGACTTCTCGTCCTACCTGATGAGATACAAGGGGATAGTTGTGAATAAAGGGGGTGCAGAGGGTCTGACAGTACGGCCTTTGCCCATTTTGTACAGGATATTACATGTCTCTCGACTATAATATTGGCGAGCTCACGTAGTGGCAAACCACAAGCCCTACTCACAGCATTTAATACCCTTCGTAATATGATATAGTCTTTTTTGAGAAGCCCAGGAAAGATTAATGGAGAGCAATAGAGTACAATAGGTAAAATACAGGAGTTTAAAAATTGCAGAACTAAAGGTTGGTTGATACCTGATTGTCTTAACTTTTTAATGTAGAAGGTAAGACGAAACATTTTCTTAGAGATTGATAAGATGTGGGATGACCATGAAAGATCAGAGGAAAGAACTAATCCAAGGTATTTAATGCTTGACTTGGTTTCAATTTCAGTGCCATCTATGCTACAGGCATCATGGGAACTAACTAGTTCATGTATGTCACATCGATGCTTGAAAGTAAAGTTAACTGCCTGACATTTGGAAGGATTTAACATAAGACCATTTGACTTAGACCACTTGCTGATGTCCAACAAAAAGCTATTGAGTTTGGAGCAGTCAGACTCGGAAGTGATAGGCAGTGATACAGTCAGATCATCAGCATATTTGACAAAGTTAGTTTCGTTTAAATGAGGCAGGTCGTGTAGGAAGAAAGAAAAAAGAAAAGGAGAGAGGACGGCACCTTGAGGAACACCGGCTTTTGTAAGCGAGGCAGAAGAAGATTTGCCATTGCAGAACAGAGGGATTCAACACCACAGCTTCACTGCTGTCCTTTACAGTTGGCTCCACAACTATTCATAAGCCTTCATGTCTCCCTCACATGATCTTTTCCATACCCGATTCATCTTTTACAACTTTGGTTCGACTCGAGCGATGACCCGCCAAACGTGTGATAAGACTCAATGGTATTCTCAGCGTATGTGCGATCCCTCACCATTTCCTTCGGAATATTTTTTTTAGGTGGAAGGTTGTTGGCTGATATCATTGCAAGAGTTTCTTATTGCTAATTCTTTTCGGTCAGTCATCTAAGCTTCATTATCAACGCAGAGAAGGTAGCTGTTGGTGAAAGTCTGCAGAAGACTATCGAAAATCCATGTCGTGATACGCGTCCCTTATGAACTATCAGTCACTGAGATTCTGAGAAATCCTAGTGAATGAAAATTACATTACAACTGAAATACGCGTACAGTGATACACATATTAATTTTTAATCTGAAGTGAGACTTCTCCTATATCTCAGGGTTACATTCCAATCAATTAACTGATAGATTTTCATAGTTCTGTATAACACTAAAATGAGTCAACTGGAAAAATTGTTCTCAAGAGTTAGTTTGTAGGGATGTGATTTGTTTCAGGCTTGACTGAGGACTGATAACTGATGCTCTTTGGTAACTGGCGAATCGAGTCCCAGTTCCTGAATGGTCTAAGAGCTTGTGTTGTAAACGGAAGGGCCTGGATTTGAACCTCGTCGGGCTTATGCTGCTGAAAAGACCCAAACTAGGACGGAACAGCTGTTCAATGGTTCTCTAATTGACATCAGTCCATCGTCAAACTATTCTGGTTACGGACCGTTAAGTTGTGAGAGGATGTATTTTCACTGGATCGTCCAATTTATTTTGGTAATTAACTGGTGGAATTCTTTGAATTGAACAACTGCTGGCTAATTTACATTTTGCTTGCATAATTTACTGAATAGATAACTTCTTCTGTGAGTACTACATATACTCTCCCTCATACTCTCAACTTACTCCCTATTTGCAAACTATCAAACTATCGGGACTGCTAGCTAAGGGTACTAAGATTGTCTGTATAAATTAATCACCAATCATATAGCTACAATAGGGTTGGTTGGTGATGAAATTAAGATCCACACCACAGTGATGATCATTGATGTCAGATGCTCAGGACACAATAAGACTGAAGGCCATTATGCATATGAAACATAAATTTCAAACAGCGAAATATGAAAAAATATTCATTGCTTTACTAATCTATCATTCTACAAGTTTTTAAAGCACTGGACACAGTGAAGGCCTTTCATACTTTATTCATAAAGCTCTTTATGAATACAATCCTGTTGGTTTGCATTACAAGATAGAACAACTTTTTTTATTTCACCAGCTGAACCAAATGATGATTGTGATAAGAACGAGAATGAAAAAGCCGACAAAGAAGAAATCCAACAGCATAATAATAATATTTGTAATACAGATGAGAAAGAAGTACCATTGGCCGAGATATTCAATCAACAAACAGCATCAAAAGAGTTATTCAATTCATCGCCAGGTGAAATTATTCCATTTGGAACACATATGAATGAAGGAGTTGAGAACAATATCCCAGTGGATATTGATCAACTTGATTCATCCTGTGAAACAATGATTGATTTACTCATGGAAGCTGTGTTTTTGAAAGCATTGAAGGTAATCAAAGTAAGACAATTATTTTCTAAGTTATATAAACAAAATGTAACATTAAACTGTACATACTACTGATTGATTTGAATGGCTGGAAACTGATTAGGCTACTTCAGTGTAGCTGTCAAGCACTATTGCTTGAAGTCAGTGTTAACCAGCTACTCAAATCAACCGAAGGTGATATATACCATATTGGGCCAAGTTAAACTTTAGGCACCACTAACTACCAATCAGCGAACGACGTCGAATTATCCAATGAGATTCACGAACGTGAGTTCAATAATGTGTAGCGCTTGATTCGTTTCAAATGCGTGCCCTAACGAAGTTACGGTTGCAATTCGAGGAGGATAGTGTTTTCCAGTATTGCCTGGATTTAGGGTTGCTTTGGAAGCAGAGAATTTGTTGGTATGGTGGTGTGATGACTTTAAAAAGCTTTAGCAGGTCAACTGATGGATATGTCCATCGTTGTGCAATATGTTTGAGGCGAGTTAGCACTAGAGAAGGTAGCTGATAATTTTAATATGTCGTAGGAAATGTTTTGCTAGGTCGCATCTATCCTTAACGCAAATTTTGTATATTTGCAACTACTGGGTCTTGAAACAGCTGGTTAGGGCCGCAGCTGCTGAAACGGAGAATAACCTCGTCTCAACAAATCAGTGGTATCAGCACTGCAGAGACATTGTATCGTGGAAAATCGAGAAAATTACTTCTTTGTTGGGTGGAGAAGGCATCGTTGTGCACGTCGATGAAACTGTGTTGGTGAAGAAGAAATACAACCGTGGTTGGCAGCGAGTGAACAATATTTGGGTAACTGGTTTGTACGACACCTCCCTCCGAAAGGAATTCGTGGAAAGGATAGCAGATAGAAAAGCAACTACTCTTATACCTATTATTACAGGACTTGCAAAACGGGGATCTATAATCCATAAGGATGAATGGAATGGTTACAATTCTCGCACATCTCTGGGAAATATTCATCATAGAGTGAACTATTGAAGTGACTTTGTTGATCCCATTACGAGGATTTTGGGGCAGGTTGAAAAATAGGATTAGGGCTATAAATGGATCTCAAAAGGATCTCATTTACAGTCATTTGGATGAATATATGTACAGTCCTACGCTTAACTGGGAGATGTTTCTCTCACATTTTAGAGAAACATACCCCCTGTAACAGTTTTATGCTTTCTTTTATGCTTTTTTCCATAAATATACGTTTCCCTTTATCATAAATGTCTCTTTCATGTGATTGGTCACCCAGGGTCGTTTGCTGATTGGTTGTTAGTGGTGCTGAAAGTTTAACTTTGCCCCACATTGTTATTTTACATACTTTCTTGATTGCCAGCCGTAACATCAAGATGTCCACATAATGTAATCTAAGTTATTTGTTTCGTTTCGGAAGGAAACCTTTAGTGAATTTCATCTGGGACTGTACAATTTACAGAAAGTCGATTTGAATTTAACTCAGAACCTTTCGTTAACTAACATAAGGACTGTTTAAACTCCCTCTCTCTTTCTCTCTGGGAAATATCACAATATGATAATGCCACATGCCAGGTGATCCACAACAGAAAACTCGGAGAAGCCTTTTAAGTGAAGACAGGAGTAAGACAAGGCTGCCTACTATCAAAGATGATATTCCTGACTATAGCAGACTGGAATATATGGAAGATTATCGGAAGTGCGAGGAGAGAAATACATTGGACTGATAAGGAAACTCTAGAAGATCTGGAATTCGCGGATGATTTATTTCTAATGTCACGTAAATTCGCAGATCTACAGGCAGAAACCAATAAGTTGTCAGAAGAAACGACGAAGACACAAGTTCAAGTGAATATTTGGAAGACGGGCGTGGTGAAAATACACGGTGACCAATAATAACAACAACCACCAATCACGATGAATGGGGAAAATCTAGAACATCACTTCATTCACTTGTCTAAGCAGCATTGTTTCAACTACAGGTGGATGATGAGGATAAAGGTGTCAAAACCAGAATCAGAAAGACAAGACAGACCATTATCATTCTGAGACCAGTTTGAAAATCTCCTGAACTCAGTATAAAGAATAAAATTCTGATTTTCAGTATGAATGCTAAGTCAGTTCCTTGATATGGTTCAGAGACTCAGCGAGTCACGAAAACCATTTCATACAGGCTATAGCAGCTACTTTCTCTGGCTCAGCACTGAAGAGCAGATGGCTGACCCATAAGAATTAACGAAAGTCTTTCAGTGAACCAACAATAAAAGAACCTATTGTTCAACATATATAGTGAAGGAAATGGAGATGGACATTGCACCCGCTGACGAGACGGTTGGGTGACATCGCACCCCAGGCAATCTCGATTAGAACCCGATTGGGAAACGGCGAAATGGAAGTGAATCTGAGGGTGACATGGAGGAGGTCGTGACAGGAGGAGATGACAGCTTATGAACCACCATAGGATCAGCTAAAGAAGACGTTATGGAATAGGGAAAAATGGAGATGTGCCGTTGGAGCTATATTTTCTGCTCGGAACTCAAGGGAATATTAAAAGGATTTTAAAGGAGTAGTTTATATCAGTTCATAGGATAACTAATACTCACATAAAAATGGCTAAACGCCATTCATTCTATGCACCAGCTTATTACTGGATACCACTGAGAACTATATTTTTAGCACTTATTTTTCAATGACTGCCATTAATAATGTACCGAAAACAAAATCCATGGTTTCCACATATTGAGTCAATGCAGTAAACCATGATCTTAGAAATCTCCTTTGGAAAGCTAAGTTTCATTGGTTGCTCTAGAGGAGAGTGGCTGGGGGGGATAACCACTGTCAAGCATCCGGTCCTTAGTGTTGGTTCGGTCAACTTTCCATTGTGGTCACCAAGCTAGGCGACTCATCATCACAGTGGACGTTGAAATGTCAAGTCGTTGGAGGCAAGCACTAGATTTTAGAAAACAACCTTCACATGAAGAGTTGGAGAATAATGCTGGATTGTTTCCAGTCAGGTGCCGAATACTCCTTATTGTTTGATCCAAAAATGTACAAAATGTAAACCAAAGGAAGTACAGTAACCGTAGAAAATCCTCAAAAATAAATGAATATCACTAATGTTTCAGTGTCTTAGTAAAGCATGTTTACCCAATTTTGAGTTCAGATTATTCTGACTTCTCATCTCACCGTGACATCTTTTGCATTTTCAGGTTAGACAAAGTCAAAGAAAATCATGTGCGTTTACTGGTGAATAAACATAAAGTTGAGTTGAAAACATGATGTCTCTGCGTGGATTATGTTTCGCACAAATAATGCACTTCATCAGATTGCTTACTGAATATTTCCCCAATGTAATACACATTTCAGTGACAATGAATTTTTTTATTTGATTGCATTATTAGTTTTTATATTACTTAGATGTATTCCACTGGTGTGATTCCATTGAAATTTGTCAGTGTTGATTGCTGAAAGTCAAATTCTGAAAAGCTTAAAGACTCAGATTATTCCTTTTTACTACCTTTTGGAAAGATTTATCCTCATCTTGCAGATGAATAATATTCTCTCTTTTTGAGATTACTCACTGTCAGAGCTACTTAGAGAAGCTAGGAACTCTATCCTCCAACTTAAATGGCTATATTATATAGTCACATAAGACAACAAAGAAAAAGGAAGTTAGGGAAGAACTAGACTCTCGTTTCATACTCATGGTGGACTTTGCTTGCAGTCGGCCTTCAAGGAAGACTTAAATTCATATGTGAAGAAAGTAGTACATCACTACATTCCTTATACAGAATGCGATCTAACGTAGACAAGTGATACGGCATCACTTTACAGTCCACTAGTAAAAACATTTGTCAGATGAAATCAAGTCATTAAACCACATCAAAAGAAGTCTCTAATGTTATGCTACTTGCAATATAAAAGCCACTGTGAAATATTGAAGAATGACTGACTCGTTCTTGGAGTACTGGACTAAATAAGTGATAAGCTAGATTAAAGTAAGAATTCAGATATTGCTATTCTGTAAACGCTGTGTTTAGCGATCGAAAAGGAGGCAGTGGATGACCCGTATAACTTAATTCTTATCATTAAGAAGCTCCTTAGGACTCCAGGAATGTCAGTAACCAGAAAACAAGCAAAACAAAGTTCACAAGCGATTGAAAGCAGTCAACGGAAATGATCAGCACGTGTGAAAACATATGAAAAGAAGAGGATATGAATCCAGCTTACAACAACAACATTCCGTTAATATAAATGCTCATCCTCCTATTTACAGAAATAAAAATATCAGATTCTTCAGATATCAGGCCAAAAGTTGAAAATTCTCCACAAATAGAATATTTCTCACAAGTTCATTACACATCATGAGAAGTATTCACTGACTTATACTTTTTAGAAAAAAGGAAGCTACTCAGATATGCATTGTTGTCGTCATCATCTGAATGATTCTATGAGGTTGTGGAATTTGAGTAGACCGCTTTTATTGTCATTATCATGCCAGAGAATTTCATCTTCAGATCATTTCATGCACCTACACAACCACTCACCCAAACACTATGCACAGTCAGAAATAATACAATGAAATTCATTGAGCGTGCCAATATCTGATTTTACACTGATATCGTAGCGATTAACTAATTAGCCAGGAATCTGTTCTGGCTTCTCAATCGGTTTCTGAGAAATTCTTCATCTAATTAAAGCATAGTGGTGTCATGCCGCACAGACTATATGTGAAATCGCGTGATTTCTCTTTCACTCTGACCATTTGTTCATCGCTGAAGTTTTGAGAAAGTGAGGCGAAATAAACACAAGAATCAACATAATAACAATAATAATTTGCTTTATTCCATTAAGAGTACTAGTGTTGCTGTGTGGAAATTTCAGCACAAATCTGCAATATTTGCATCTAATTTTATCACACATTTAAAAGGATTATGTCAATACATTAAATATACAAACAACAACAGCAGAAAAACAGGAAATACACAAAATAATTTTTAAAAAATACAGAAAAATACCAAGAAGTAGAAAGGAAAATAAACAGCATATTATAATAACTCAGTTTTGGATAGTGGAAGCTATAATGTGACTATGCATGGTGACAGTAAAGCTATAGTTATACAAGAAGTTATGAAGTGATATAAAAGAATGCTCATTGCTAAGATGACCAGTTAATTTGGTTGAAACAACTCTAAACAATCATAAAATAACATTTCAGGGTTGTTGTTTTGTTTTTTATTGTCAGGTCTAATGCAGTGTTTGTAGTGGTAATGTGAGTAATCCTGCACAATAAAAATTTGAAGGTGGTGATAATTGCGTTCACAACCAATGATTGTCAGTTAAAATTGCCGAATAAATATAAGAAAATATAAGGAAAAACAACCAGAAAAATTAATAATTACATGATGGTTAATGACAGGACACCTTTGTATTACTCATAGTGCTAATATAGTCGGAACCAGTGGATACACAAAAGAAGGAATACAGTAAAGTACAAAATGCAAGCCAATGTTAATAATTTAGGTAGCTAAGTATGTTTAAGAAGGTGTTCACTATAGAATACAGAATAAGAGAGAAATAAAAGAGCCTAAAATTATGTTATTAACAACAAAGCAAGTCATCGGTTTCACTCTAAACATTGTCTCTGTCGCTTAGAACACGGGCCGAGTATGGTATCGTTGAGTTCCTGTACTTGGTTGTACGAGCGTAGATTATTTTATACTGATTTCTGGTTCCGCTTGATGAGATACAAGGCGAGAGTAGAGGGGGTGTTGGTTGTCGGAGAGTATGGTTTTAGACCATTTTCCGCATGTATTCAGATGCCTTTCAACTAATGTAGTGACGAGCTGACTGAGTTTTACACCACTAGTCCTACTAACTACCTTCAACATCCTTCTCAGGATGGTATAGTCCTTTTTCAGTAGCCAAGGAAAGACTAACGGGGAACAGTGAAGTAGAATAGGTAAGATGCATGAGTTGACAAAGTGTGAAAGTAGAGGTTGGTTGATTCCAGATTGTCTGAGTTCCTCAATGCAGTAGGTTAGACAGAACACTTTCTCAGAAATCGTTAGGATATGAGATGTCCAAGTAAGGTCGGAAGATAGAACTAGACCGAGGTATCTTGCAGTAGACTTAGTTTCAATTTTAGTCCTCTCAATGCAACAGGCTTCATGAGTACTTACTAGTGTATGTAGATCTGGCTTACGCATAAGGGGGAAGTGAAGGGTCTGGCATTTTGATGGATTCAGCATGAGACCATTTAGTTTAGACCACTGACTGATGTCCGACAGGAAGCTATTTAATTTGAAACAGACTTAATGGTAAATCACGTAAGAAGAAGGAAAAGAGAAAGGGAGAGAGAACAGCACCCTGAGGAACTCCAGCTTCAGTAAGCGAAGGAGAGGAAGATACACCGTTATATACCGTGTACTGCATCCTATTAGAGAAGTAAGAGTGTAGCCAGTTGATAGCCCAGGACTCAGTTTGTGTAAGGCTAAGCTTGTATTACAATAAGCCTCTAGGTACAGAGTCGAAAGCAGATGTGTAATCAAGGAACGTACAATGGACATACTTGGCCCCTCTGTCTAAGGAGGATACAATGTTGTGATGAAACACAGCAGCAGCTTCCAAAGTACTTCTACCCTGTTTGTAAGCAAACTGCTTTTGATCGTTTGAGAAACTAAGGGAGTGAACAAGTTTTAGTAACAATTATTTCTCCATTAGTTTCAAAAGAGGAGAGGTAATAGCGATAGGTCTAAACTTCACATTATTACCAGAACCTGACTTGGGTACAGGGATGATTTTAATATCTTTCCACAGAGAAGGTACAACATTATTAGAAAAAGAAGTGTTGAAAATGTTTGTAAGTGGGTTACTTAAAATATCAGAACATTTCCTTAGGATATGGCAGGTATACCATCAGGGTCTGGACTCTGGGATGGTTTAAGAGATTTAAAATATTTAAGAACATCAGAAGTTTTAAAACTATGAAAGTCACTGGTCATGTTATTTGTTACATTGAAGCTAAAAGGTACATTATGAGGGCGGATAAAAGATATATTAAGAGTATTTACATCAATAGAGAGGGCATAAGGACTATGCTTAACACAACGTGTAATTTCTTTGAAAAGCTTCCACATGTTCCCTGGAGTTTTACATGACAAAATTCTTTGATTATAAATATTGCTTAGCCTCCTGATTTCGGATTTAATATGGATGTTAATCCTTCTAAGACCAGCCTTATCCTTAGTCTTACAGAGTCTCTCTTTTGCTTTTCGAAGCTTTTTGAGATGAGACAAACGGAAACGGTCCTTTCTTTTGAAAGGTATCTGTTTTGGACAGCATACATCAAGGCAGAATCTAAGAGAGTCAGTCAGATTAGAAATAGTATCATCCAGTGTGTGCTCAGTGAAAAATCCCCAGTTTGTGTCATTTAAGATATGTCTTAGTTTGAGCACGTTTTCTTGTGAGTAACATCTTTGTTGTGTTTTTCTGGAGAGATTCGAGAGAATATTTGAGTGATATCTGCTATATATCTTGGGTAATATCCGAATAATACAATGATCAGAATTCATTATAGGAGCACGTCTGCGTGCTTCATATATTTCCGCATCATTAGTAAATACTAGATCCAGCGTTTTGTCAAGTGAAGTTGGAAATTTGATAATATTGACATGACCTAATGATTCAAGAAAAGAACAGTCACAGGTATTGAAATCTCCTGTGACATTTGATAAAGAGTTTTCAAGATGTGTAAAGGCGAATGCTGTGAATTCATCGGCAAAATCAGATAGATCCGAGGCGGAACAACCAGGAGTAACATAAATATTTGAGATGAAGACGTATTTAAACTTGGATAAGTGTTTCGGTCGACACTTGACTGTAATACAATCAATAAAGTCACTAGAGAAAGAAAAACATTTATTATTTGATGTTTACCACTGAGAATGAATAAAGGTGGCAACACCTCGACCTCATTTCTTTCTAGAGCATATTCGATGTTGTCTCAACAATGTAAAACCATTTAGAGAAACCAGGTTGTCGTCATAAAGATCATGGAGCCATGTTTCTTGTAATGCGACTATCGCCGTATTGTGATAAGTATCGGATGATCAGAGTGAGACTGGAGACGCATAATTTTGTTGGGAAGTGAACGGCAGTATGAACTGACAATAACAAGAATTGTTGTGCGATATAATGGTGTCCGTTTGAGAGCACGCTGCCAACCACCATGATGTTTTCTCTTAGTTTTATTAGATGCGTGAAAGTATTATGGTGTAAAACATTTAATGTATTCAGCACTGTATTTGGTACGACTTGTGATCATATTTTGTAAAAATTAAAAAAGAAAACATGATGTATTAGATGCAAATACGTAGAGGTACAGAAAGCAAGGCCAGGTGTCAAACAGGCCACCAGAATAATGTAGGTGAGGTTTTGTGTGTATGTGCGTTCGTGTGTTAGTGCGTTCACCATCGAAAGGCGTATCTTGGTTTGTATTGGCAGATATTTCACCACTCTTACTTGCTTTGT